GTGTGTGTGTGTGTGTGTGTGTGTGTGTGTGTGTGTGTGTGTTAGCTTTTTAAATGGGATTTTAGGAGATTCATAAACTCTTGGAAATCCATCCACGGATCTTATGTTTCAGACCTCAGCATTAAATGGTACACACATTCATTCTAAATTTCACTTCCCCCGATTTTCCTGTAGAGAAAGGGTGGGAAGGGCAGAGGAATGGCTGGTGGTTGGTGGGAGGTGGGGTTTAGATCCACCTGATGACGGAAGTCAGTGTCTGCAGCCAGAATCCTGAGTGTCAGTTCTGGCAGCAGTGCCACCTCCAAGTGAGCAACTGGAATGTAAGAATGCAGATTGATGACAGCAATAATCCATTTTCAGATTCTCTGGGCATGGGGACAGCAGGTGTGCAGGGCAGGCAGCTTTCACTGCCAGTGTGGGAGGAAGGACACCTTGGAGACTGGGCATTCACTGGTGTTGGCTGCAGCTGCACCACTGGTGGGGAGACTGTCTGCTTCCAGTCTCAGTATCTGCTGCTGGCTTCTGGGAGATGGGGTGAGCCCTGATGGTATGCTCCCAGCAGTGGTCGTTCAGGGACTCCACCTGACCTTTCTTGGGTTAAGCCACTGAAGTGAGAGTAGGAAGATACCCAGGGCGTTCATAGGGAAATTGTCATTGGAGCTGTGTACATACTGGTTGAAGATCCATGTTAACTAGTGAGGTGGACCAAAAAAGGATGGACTAAGTTAAAACAGAGCCTCTGTTTGTAAGCCTGCTAGATTGTTAGGCAGGCTGGAAAAGTTCTCACAAAGTTGCACCCCTTGATGAGTTTGCAGTGCTGAGACTCTTGGCTCCTCCTTTTACTTTTTCCAGAATTGTAGAAATAGGGTCATGAACTTACTATTTCCCATGAATTGATAGCCTCTCCTTGTTCTGGCTGGCTGACCAAAAGTGTGTATCTTGATTGGCAAGGGAATGAGGTGGGAGAAAAGTGCAGGTAAACTTGAGGCTGGGCAGAGTTCAAGGTGGAAAAGCAGGCATCAAAGCCAGGGCACAGGGTCAATGTCAGACCACCAAGGACAAACACAAACATGGGAACCTGTAGATAGGGACTGAGTTGGCCTCTGCAACAGAAGGCCATGACACTACTGCTGTGGCAGGACAACAGGCCAGTTAACTTCTCTGAGCCTCAGTTTCCTCATATGCAAGATGGGCGAAGTAATTGTTAGAAAGAAAATTGAATATAAAACATGTAAATCACCTAACATATTCATGGCACAAGGAATCAGATCTAATTACCAGCAGCTTATTATTACCCATGTATTGGCTACTAAGCCAGGTCCTTGGATGGGTTGGAGGAGTGACAGTTATGAAAATAAGTAAGAAATAGTCTCAGTTATCAGTTTGCTCATAGCTTCACAATTATCACAGAAGCCAGACTGTGATGAGTGCTATAATAAATGAAGCAAGCGTGGCTGAGTTTCTCTGGTGACCCCATAATTGCTCACTTGTGGAAAACCTCTCAAGTGACCAAAACCCTCCTAGACAAAGATATAATAGAACCATGCTTCCAATTAATGTCTCAACTTGAATTACAAATGTGGGCTTGGATTTCTCAGAGTCACTGCTGACTATTTCTCAGGTAACAAGAACTAAAGAGTATGCACAATGACATTCTTTAAGGGTGTTTTTAAAGATACAGGAATATGTGTGTAAGAGGAACCTTTTCTACCATGGGCCATTGAACCACAATGGAAAAAACTGAGGACCACAGAACTAGAGAGTGATTATACTTTGTCCCCCTACCCCCACCCCAGAGAATACAAAGCTCCTTCTCATTCACTTCCATAATTGGAACAGGTCTGTATATAAGTTCACCCAGTGAAGAAACAATACCTCTTTGTTTATATAAAATCAGTTTTTTATGGAAATACCTAGGGCAAGGAGAGGTAGAGAGAAACCAATACGTGGAGGGACAGAGATGGGAAAGTAAAGACAGACAGGGACACACATACAGTAAAAGGACTAGGAGATACAGTGAAGCTCAGACAGGAAGCATAGATAAGTCATGGCACAGCACAGACTCCAGGGGACATGCACACGTGTGTGTGTGTGTGTGTGTGTGTGTGTATGTGTGTGTGTGCATGATGGCTGCAAATTGGGTCAGGAGGAGGGAGAGGGGAGAGTAGGGACATGTAAAACCATATCGTCTGAATCCAGCATCAGAAAACCTTTTCTATAAAGGGTCAGACAGTAAATATTTTAGGTTTTGTGGACCACACGATTACTTAAATGATGTAGGGCAAAAGGAGCCAGTGTACACAATATACTAATGAATGGGCATAGTGTTCCAATAAAACTTTATTTATAAAGACAGTTGGCAGGACAGATTTAGCCCATGGGCCATAATTTGTGAACCCTGCTTTAAATTGTGCCTCTTTAAATAGTCAATAAACAGTTATGTATCTCCTGGGTTCTTAAAGCCATGATTCTTAGGTAGCTCTAAATAGTTCAGTTCATTCTACAAGACGATGGCTGCTGGAAGCCCATATCTTTTATGTTCCTTCCCTCTAAACTACAAACGCTGGCAGTATTTCTATGAGAAAGAAGGAGGGCCCAGGAAGAAATGCATTTTGAATGGCAGTGGAGTGAAGTGGGTGATGAATACCACCTGGACCCAACCAGCCAGCCAAGTGCTGGGCTGCAGCCCATGCTCAGCACTCACCTGGGACCCTGGTGAATATCTTCTTCAGGGCTGGGGCATCATTTCAGCCCCTGGCCATGTGTGCTGGCCCAGCACATAATGATTCTGACCTCTGGCATTTCAAGAGCCTGTTTTTAAAAAAATGTGGCATTCTGATCCATCCATTGTTGAAATTTTGGAAAGAAAAATAAATAGTTTGAGGCACATGGTGGATTCATCAAGGAAAGTCCTGAGAAAGGAGGCAAAAAGACAGCAGAAGTGGATAAAGGAAGAATGCTCTCAAGTACTTATTTATCTTTTTTGCTCTTCTTCCTGAGAGGGCTGGAATAGGAAAAGGGGTGGGAAACCTGCTTGAGGAGGCTCTGAGATAGACCAGATGTGGGCTGACCTCATGGTCATTGCTAGCTGCAGCTGTCTAGAATGTTTAACATTCCTGATGTTTAGATTTATATCATGCTGTTCCCTGCAGAATTCAAGCCCTTGGTGTGATATATTGGAAAAACACAGTGCTAATTTTTGGAAGATCTGGGCCATTCTGGTTCTGCTCTTTATTTGGGTTAAGTTAGGCCAGTGTCTCTGAGTCTTCTGTAAGAGGTGTACACATTATGTCCAGTGAGTTTGAGAAAGACAGAGCTAAAGCAAATGAAACAAGTTTCTTCACTGTGGACCACTCATACTCTTTGATATACAAATGTGCTTTGCCAGTGACCACTGGTCATAACTACATAGCATCTGTGATATTGTCTGCCATCCATCCTTCATGCACCTTTCTTCTTTCCAGGTTTCCACAGCACAGCCATGCCCTATGTTGTCTCCCTTTGGGCCAAGTTGTGAGTCTTCCCTTTCTTCTTTTTCTTTCCATCACTGGATGTCACTCAAAGGCCTGAAAAAGGTCTTCTGCTCTTTTCTGTATGCTCTTTATGAACTCATGCATTCTCCAGGCTAAAACTATGACAGTTTAATTTACATGTCTAAACTGGACTTCTTGCTAGGATCTCAGTTTCCAGATGACGTTGTCTTGTGTACATCCTTCTATCCTTTCAACAACGACAAATCTAAACTCAACTCACCATCTGCCCCTCTTCTTTGCCATATTTCTACTTTAGAACTCAGTCCCAGGACCTGACTACTTCACATTACACATCTTTCCCTCCACAGATAA